AAACTTATATCTTGAAGGGTTTCTTGTGTTAGGCAATTTAATATGAAACATTCTCATCTTCCAAGAACCCTGCATAGTAGGATTTGGCGAATGATATCACGGCAGACATTGAATTACATGAAGCCCAATGAAGCCCTGACACATTGTTATGTATGTTTAAAATAGGTTTTTTCGTTAACCAGCTGTCGCACACCTAAAACGACAACCCTCAGAAGTCGACTAACGAGGTTTTACCTTTTAACGTGTGATTCCTAACACAGGTTGGACGATAGCTAGTGAAAATCGACCGTTCAACCTGCGGCTTGAACCACCGACTCACACATCGGTCGATTAAGAGAGTAAGCAAAGCACTCACGTCGAACCGTCCGGCTACCGACTGGGCGGTCTGAACTGGTTTCTAGGTGGTCACTTGATTTATTTCAGTAACATCTAGTGCTGGCAAAGATGAAGCATCTGCAAGAATTTCTTATTTGAGAAAACTTGCACAAATGTCTGTCGTATATAATTCAATCTGCGATGATGCGATTAGCCAGAGAATGAGTTTCTTATCACGCATTTTTTCAGAACCCAGTAAGTGGGGAAATTGGTGAATGTTTCGAATTTTATTTGACACAGCCATCATACTTATTTTGATTTCTGTTCGAAAAAAATGATAAACCAAATATAGGGTAATTAAATAATAGCTCTTATTAGAAAAAAACCTTAAAATATTTTTTACAAGTGAAATCAGAGACCATTATCTTATTCAGTACCTGAAAATTTATCAAGTTCCCATTGTAAAAGAGGATTGTTGTTTCTATCTTGACCCGGTAAAACTCCCAAAGGTAGTCCTTTGAATATGGATGTGTCTGGAAAAAAAAATTGATTATATCTTGAACTCACTTGAAATGTGGATGGAGAAAGGTGTCTTTCAAGTTCTGATGTGTATGTTATCTGATCTTCATTAGATTTAAATCAACAGTTCGTGAAATATAGAGGAAACAGTGTGCTTTTCATATAAAACGGTTTTTCTGAACTTTTGATGAAATGGATATATCAAATAACCCTTATCAAGGGTATTCGTGCTCCCATATTCAATAAGTAAATAATTTGAACGATTTTATCAGCAAAATCAACTCATCCATCGGGTGTACCTTACACGAAAACATTAAAATTATTTCAGGTAATATGAAATTACTTATATTGATTTTATCATATGACTGAAAATGTTGCATTGTATATAATACAGTGTGTCAATTTTAAAACGTACAATGGGCTATATCTCACAAACGAATGCTGATATCGAAAAATGCTTGAAACCGTTTCTAGAATAGTAAGGGGGAACTAAAGTGACATGAAACAGAACTCACCCCCCCATCAACCGCCTTGGCCCCACCCACCAAAACTCAAAAAGTTCAAATTGCAAACCCCTACTTGTGATACATCATTGAAAAGACTATAAAAAATGCTATCCAATGGTATAAATAAAATGTACAGGGTGAAGCAATAATAATTTGGGCCAAAGTTTCACAATTACTGCTTCACCCTGCAGAATTATTATTTATATCATTGGATAGCATTTTTTATAGTCTTTTCAATGATGTATCACAAGTAGGGGTTTGCAATTAAACTTTTTGAGTTTTGGTGGGTGGGGCCTAGGGGGTTGATATGAGATAAAAATGTGAGATTTGAGATAAAAATAGTATCCGTGTTTCCAACAGATCCACCTCTCCCATAAACCAGAACATTCTTTTGTAATACTTGAGAAGGGTTTAAAAGTTCTGTAAAGTATTTTTGCTTGATTCCTTAAATTTGAAGTTCCAATTATAACTTCCGGTTCATGATGTTTACATATAACATCTATCTATGAAAGGGGAGGATTCTTTATAAAGTTATTTTCCAACAATAACAAATGAAATTGTAAGATATGTTAAGAGATTTTTTCTTTAGATTAAAGTCTGTTAGAAAAACCAGTTATGTCAAGTTGACAATGAATAAGAATTAAAAATAGAATAAGAATTCACACAAAAGATATTGACTAATACAATGGTCCTTTGAGTGACGTGATTCAACACAGCCAAAGTTTTGAAACAATAAGAAGAAGTTTATGAAACATTTTTCCAGCCAACGACTTATTGCAGAGATTAACAGAAACTTGGACGAACAGTACATTTGGCCCAAAGACTTTGGTCCAGGAGAACTGATATGGAACACTCAACGATTCGAACCAGAGAAACCAACAGAATTCATGAAACCTGTGAACCACGAAATGGAAAAAATGAGGCTGAAAGTTTTTTATTCTTGAAAAGTTCCAAGAAGAGCACTGAACTTCAAAGAAAGCGGGTTACTTTAGTAGGTGAAGTGTCCAAACAGGGATTTTGAGATCAAAATTTGAAAATTACTCACATAAAAACAGCTCTACAAAGAGGAAATCCAATGAATTTAAATGTTGATGGAACTCCCTCTAATAGCGGACCGGATAGAGAAAACAAAGAACAATTGAATCTTTCAAATAAAGTGAAGAACTCCGATCTACTAAGAAATTCGTCAGACAAGAAAAACGATGATTCCAAGTAACAATCCCATTATTCTGATGACTTATGAACACTTTGATCGAATATGACCAATAATGCAAAAGAATTGCACATCATAATATTCTGGAAACAGTAGTATGACAAATCTGCCGCTATTTGACAGAAATCAAAAAGACTGGCCCCTATTTCACAATGTTACGAATATTTAGTTTTTCTTACTTATTTTCAATTAAGTGCTTCAGTTTTAGGCTCAAATGTTGAGTCAAAAATACTTAACAACCTAAAGGAACTTTATTATTCTCTTCTTCTCTTTTTTCCATTTTTGTTTACACACTATAATTTAGGAACTCAACTCACCTTCTATACGATTCCATCTACCTGTTTTTGTAACTTTGCGTTCTTCTGTAACATTTGGTGGACTACTCTGGACTAAATTTATTGCTTTAAATAAGTCGTCCGCTGTATACACACGTCTTGTCAAATCGAATGTCGTATTTTTCGCAGGTATCAAACTCTCTGTCAGAAGTTTTGCATGATCTATATATTTTTCAGGATTTCTGTTGAATTTCATCACACTAAAAAAAGGGTTTGTTAATAGTGTTAATATGACATCACCTAATAAAAATAATAATAGATTTTATTGACAAAATGTGGTACAAAACAAAAGGTAGCATTCAGGCCTGATCTGAATTATGCCTTTTGATAAAAATGTAGGAGATATTTGAGAATTGCCTAGAGGACACTATCATTTCTTTTTTTCAAATGGAAAGGTGGTGTTGTGACATTTTGTACTGAATGTATTTCAATTTTCTATACAACAATATTAACCTTTTTTGAATTTCGATAACAGGTTGTGGAGTTATTGATGTTTCAATTTGATACTGGGAATTTCGTAACCCAGCCACTTTATGTTAGATTTTTTTTAATAAATGTATATTGGAAAGAGAAATAAAATAGCATCTTTTGTAACATAAATGTTGATTTCAATAAAACGATATCACTTTATTTTATTCAGACGTTTTCTGAGGAGTTTGAGTGTGACCTCGAAAAATATATGGGTTTATGTCTGACTAATATCGCACATTTTGGCTGTTGACATTACCGTTTAAGCAAAAACCGCATTCATCACTATAACAAATACTTTTTATGCAGTTTCTATTCGCAATCAAACGTTCGGACATTAATTCACAAAACTACATTCTTCTGTAAGGGTTATCTTCATTAAATTCATGTGATAATTTCAGTTTATAGGGGTGAAACTTATGTCTTCTGAGGTATTTCTTGACAGTGGTTGTTGAGACCCCGTTCTCATAAGCAACTGTTGTGTATTGCAGGGGATTATTCACTGCAAACACAACAATTTCTATCTGTTTCTCGTTCAAGATGGATTCTCTAACAGCTCCTCCAGTTATTTGAAATATTTCAACAAATTCTCTGAGATATTTTTGGCATTGAATACCCTTTCTACCTCATGAAAATTATGGCCGGCATTGGCTTGAATAAGGACTTGCTCTTGTTTTTTTCTCTTTAGTTCTTGTGCCAATCATTTTCAGAAATTCAAACAAAATGATATGATGTGAATTCTCAGTATCAGTAGTAACAGCTGTCAAGCCAACAAAATACTTTCTTTATTTTATTAGTTTGAACTTCCATTGTCTAATATGATTCTATTATGATCTGAAATAACACTTGAAATTGAAATGAACAGCTAAAATGTAAATTATATTAAGCAATAAAACGTGAAATGAAATTATAATAAAACGAATAAGATAATGGAGATAAAAATGACCTTAGAGTAAAAAGGAATAAAAACATAAATGAGCCAAAAATTAAACAAAAACAATTGAAAAAGAAACTTAAAAAAGATCTCAAACCAAGTCACGTCACGACGTTTCGATTGTAAATATCCTTAATCGTCTTCGGGTGATGACTGGACTATTCCTTTGAGAGACGATTATTTATAGGTCATTTGAATGCTTTCAACTTCCCCTCTTCCCTCACTTCGTTTTACCGATTTAACGGAAGTTGACGGTTTTTTCGCTTGATTAGAGGTTTCCATATGTTGTGTATCTCTACGCTAACTTGCTAACTTGGTTGAATGCGTCATTGGACAAGCTAGCGTAGAGATATGCAACATATAAAAACCTATAATCAGGCGAAAAAACGGTAAACTCCCGCTAAACCGGTGAAGCGAAGGGAGGGAAGAAGGGATAGGTGAAAGTTTTTTTATTGCTTAATATAATTGATATTTCAGCTATTCATTTCAATTTTATTTGTTCTTTCAGAGATTTCAGATCATATTAGAATCATATCCGACAATGGAAGCCCGAACTAGTAAAATTCACCATGAATACGATTGTTTTCTGTGAATAATTTCTTTCTCTTACACATTACAAACTTTGGGTAACCTGTGATAGCTAACTTTGGAGTTGTTTCAATCCTCTTTTGGTTGCGAAGTAACAAAATATCATTTTTCCTAGTATCCAGTTCGTACACCAGTAACTTCGCAACTGGTTATCAAAATTCAAAATAGTGAAAGTAGTTGTCTACAGACTCAAAATACCTCTTGAGCAAAGGGTCACAAGACCCCCCCTTTCTATGTGAAAATAATTTTGATAGCGCCTTCTCTGCAGCGAGTAATGCCACACCATTGACTATTTTTTCAAAAAGTACTAAAGTTTCCTTTTAATACAAATTTTGTTCGACTTTGATATCTTGCCCCGTTTGAAAGGTAAGGTAAGGACTGTATGGGTTCTCGAATTTGTATACATACAATATATATATGACATGCTCAGGGTTGCCCCTTTCCTCTCATGCAGACCTACGACTTTGTATGTACTTGTGGCATATACCCAACAGAAAAACAACAACCCACCCAGCTAATGCCACACAGAGAGTTGAAGTAAAACCATCAGGCACCTGTGCAACGTCTTCCACTTGGAAGATTCATCGCAAGTTACTTCCCACTATGAAAAGCAGAAATTAATTTCGTTTGGTCGATCCGACCAACACTTGGCTGCACCACGCTGACGAGGCCAATAGCCAGAAACAAGTGTCCGCGATTTGCCCCCCTTTTTGGAGTGATATGTCCACTAATTGTGTCGTTTTTGATTTGTATATCATACACACACGATAAAATCTTCTTTGTCTGTATTTATATCCTAGACCCGGATGTCACGCAGGTAGCTATAGCTATGGGTAACAAGTGTTACCCATCTTTACAATTGGCTGCACCGCGCCAATGTGCGGTTGACTCCTGTTGTTGACTCCGTGCATATGTGTTGTTTCCTGCTTTCGGCAAACAAGTGTTACCCATCTTTAAACTTGGCTGCACCGCGCTGATGTGGCCAATGGCCAGAAACACGTGTTGTCTGTATTTATATCCTGGACCCGGATGTGATTCAGGTAGCTATAGCTGCTTACGTGGTCATGTCAGATGTAGCCTGGGAATTCTAGGTCTCCTAACTGGAACCACAAATGTGTGTTGTTGACTCCGTGCATGTGTTGTTTCCTGCTTTCGGCAAACAAGTGTTATCCATCTTTAAACTTGGCTGCACCGCGCTGATGTGGCCAATGGCCAGAAACACGTGTTCGCGGTTTGCCCCCCTTTTTGGACTGTTATGTCAACTAATTGTGTCGTTTTTGATTTGTATATCATACACACTCGATAAAATCTTCTTTGTCTGTATTTATATCCTGGACCCGGATGTGATTCAGGTTCTATAGCTGCCTACGTGGTCATGTTAGATGTAGCCTGGGAATTCTAGGTCTCCTAACTGGAACCACAAATGTGAGGTTGGCTCCTGTTGTTGACTCCGTGCATATGTGTTGTTTTCTGCTTTCGGCAAACAAATGTTACCCATCTTTACAATTGGCTGCACCGCGCTGATGAGGTCAATAGTCAGAAATATGTGTCCGCGGTTTGCCTCCCTTTTTGGAGTGTTATGTCCACTAATTGTGTCGTTTTTGATTTGTATGTCATACACACGGGATAAAATCTTCTTTGTCTGTATTTATATCCTGGATTCGGATGTCACGCAGGTAGCTATAGCTGCCTACGTAGTCATGTTAGATGTAGCCTGGGAATTCTAGGTCTTCCAACTGGAACCACAAATGTGCGGTTGGCTCCTGTTGTTGACTCCGTGCATATGTGTTGTTTCCTGCTTTCGGCAAACAAGTGTTACCCATCTTTACAAGTAATAATTTCTAGAGTATCTAGTAATATAGCTATAGGAGTTCTGGCTCATTCCTTATGAAAAAAACACGTACAAATTTGAGCATGTTCATTCTGACAAGTTTTGGACCTCAGACCCAGTTCACACGGAAGGAATGAAGGTCCGCGCCTCGTCTCTGCCAGACGTCCATTCTGTGTGAATTGGGCGTTGAACTTTCAGAGCCCACTCCTCCACTTTTGGCCGAGGAGTGAGGCAGTCTCCCAAGGAGGACCACGCTCCGAAACTCATTCCATCCTTCTCTGCATCGATTACGTCACACGTTTCTCCCTCTCACTATCTGAAACACACATACCTCGAGGTGGATGTTCCACAAGGTTCCGATCGGATGTCATGAAATTGCAAGAAAGTTCAGCCCGATAAAAAAATACATGGGATTTTGAGCTCGGAACAAGTTTATTCATCTATTGGATTTGAATTTCCCGCTGTACGGGCGGTAGATTCTGATTGGTCTACTGTATGACGGAGTGGGCTCTAAAAGTTTAAGGCCCAATTCACACAGAATGGACGTCAAGCAGAGACGAGGCGCGGACTTTTATTCCTTCCGTGTAAACTGGGTCAGACCCAGTCCAAAAAAGCCAGAATGAACCTTCCCAAATTTGCACGTGTTTTTCCATAAGGAATAAGCTAGAACTACTATAGCTAAAATACTGTATCTGTTAATTTATCACTTCTTCCAATGGTAACTAGAATGAAATTTCCCTCGAGTTTCCCAAATTTATTGAGGTAAATAAAATGAATATATAAATTCATCATCGATATATACATTCATCGTGTAATATTCGAAAAAAAAATATTGAAAAAAAGGCAACAAATATCCATCAAAATTGAAAAAGTGATGGAAAAATTGAATATTTATTTTTTGCTGAGTTCCTTTTCCAACCCTGAACTGTTGAAATCTACTTACCTGGAGGTTATCGCACCCTTCCAGGATTCCTTCTTCAACCGCTCGTATACTATTCCCACTCAAGTCCAATAACTGAAGATGAGTCAGACCACGCAATTCTGTTGTTGAGAATATTGGATTCAATTGAAAGGTCGGCGGATCTTTCAGCTCTGTTACGCCAGCGACGCAATGCCAAAATTAGGTACTTTTTAGGTGCCGAAGTCAAAAATTAGGTGCTCTGTAACTTACACCGCAGAACAATACTCAAAGTTGCGTTGATAGAATTATGTAATGCTAGCAACGCAATGAAAATAATAATGAAATAATGAATGTTAAGGAAACACTATTAGGTGCTTATTGAGTGCTAAACGGTGAGGATTGTCTAATTAATAAACATTCTAATTGATAAACAAAATCTTCCAATTTCGCTAAACAACAGATCTAAGAATCAGGTCTCTCGAAAACGAGGACGAATGCTCAA